CTCATTGCAATACTACTGCACCCCCTCACTGTCTACCCCCTCACTGCAATTCTACTGCACTTCCTCACTGTCTACACTCTGCCCTGCGACACAACGTGGTGTCCCTGGTGTACACCGCCTTGAGCTCCTGCTCCCCTGCAATCATGAACTGGATAAAGCTGTTGTTGAAAATAATGGGATGTGCCTGTAATATAACAGCCATACTCTTGTGGAGTAGTGTACAAACGTTTGATCACAGCATCAACAACTTTCATGTCACTGGAACGCTTTTCAGCCATGATTAAAGAGTAACGCCAGAAACACACAACGGGAATAATTCTGGAAAGCGCACACACGAGAGAAGATATGCACATGAAGCAGTGAGGACCGAGGCAGGGGCTGCTCGCATCTTTTTTCGTTGAATTTGAATTTTTGTTTTTCTGGGAACACCTCTACACTGATAATTACTGCGTACTGGAGCGTTATCAGCAGTAGAAGCAGTGCAGTAGGTCTGTAATAACAGTCAGTGTGGCAGTACCGGAGTGTTGACAGTGAGGGCTTCAGGCTGACCAAGTGTGTGAGACATGGGGCTCACCGCCCCACCCCAGGATCCCCATGAGCCACCTCACCTCGTTCTCGGTCCGGGGAGGCACGTTTTCCAGCAGGTCGATGCCGTTCACCACGACGCTCTTCTTCTCCTTCGCCGGGGCCTTGAAGACCAGCTGCGAGGGCCGCCGGTACCCCTCCCTCAGGGACATCAGTACTGGGTCTAGCGCACACACACACACAGGACACAGACAGGCTGAGCACACGCTCACTGCTGGCAGGGCCACACCTCTGCCCAAGCTCAGAGGAACGATGTTGTTCCTCGAGGGACGTCATCCCACTTTGCCCGGGAACCAGGACCGGTCGCTCACTTGTTTTTGCTACACGAAGAGCGCGGGCTGGGCTTTACCTCGGTTGATCCCGCTCAGCCACTCATCGGCGGAAAGGGCTGGCTCTGTTCCTGGAGTCATTGGGTAGATGTCCTCCTGGTACGTCTCTGACTGCCGTGCGGAAAGATGGGACATAGGTGAGTTTGCAAATAACGTCTTGCATGGACTAGTTCTGTTTAGTTCCAGGGGCTGGAATATCCCCCACTTCTGCTGGTTTTCATTCCAGCTGAGCTCCCTGCGTACTTGACTGAACATTAGTTCAGAATTTTTCAATTCCTGGCTAGTGGAATTCAGGAATAAAGATTGACATCACATTCGATGTCAAATTGGAGTCTTCAGTTGATATGGTAATACAAAATGGGGTGCCGAATAAACAATGGGGTGCTGACGTACTCCACCCTGAAAAAATCTTGAAAAGACTGGAACATCTGGTGCCCTGAAGTTTCAGCACCTGACCATGTAAGTCTTTTGTAACGGCTGATATTTTCAAAATAACTAAGTTTCTTTAGTAGCTGAATATTAAAAGGAGCACCAGTCTCCAGAGAAAAACATTCCAATATCCGCATTTCCGAAATCAGGATGATCAAAGAGGAGAGAGCATCCTGCTAGAATTTTCAAGTCTTTTGTGTATGTTTTGCTAATCAAGCTGAGACCAAATCACAGGCTTCATCATAGCAGCTGGGAGGTCTGAGAATCTGTTTCAGGGACCCTGTGTTTTCGAAGTCATTATAAAAGTATCTCCCTGTGAAAAACTGCCGCACAGTCCAAGCAGTTGGTTCTGAGTATACTTAGGCTTTTGCACCACTCTATCTATGCTCTTCTGTCTCATCCTCTGTGTAGTGGAGCTGCTGGGCCCTCCTTCCTACAGCACATGCAAAGTTCTCAGGGAAGCAAAGTACTTTACGAATTGAGACTACTATTAATAGTGCTAAGGTTGGGACTAGGAGCTCATGTAGAAGGCCGTGCTTTCAGACTGGAGTCCCTTCAGAAGTCCAGACCCACTTTAAGGACTCCACCACTGATCTAAATGGTTTTTGGAGCGGAGGTGGCACTCACCCTCCTTGGCACAATCATGGAAATGGGCTCGATCAGCCCCTTCAGCGTCACCAGCTTGTAGAATCGGAAGACTTCACAGGCGGCCACGTCCAGGCCGTGCTTTGGCATCACACCTGCCCGAGGAAACAGCGGTGGTAAGGCTTTCAATACCAAATCCCATTACATTCAAAGCCTTACTGCTGCCACCCCTCAAAAACCTAAAATTGTCATTATGCATCTGTTGCTTCCCAGTCTTCGTAAATACTGTGAACCAAGGTACTTTTTTCTTCTTTATTTTACTTTTTAAATCACTTGTAGTCTTAACATCACATCTGCTCCGGCCTTTTGCTGTCTGAGTGAATTAGGGCTTTGGGAAAGATGCTTTGAGAATCACTGATGTTTTTGCTGTTTCGGCATTTCACAGACAGGAGCTTTTGCATATTGATCCCAATAACTGTATCAGTTTTGTGCAAGTCACAGCCAGTATGCAGTAACTCAGCTCAAACTTTGAGACAGAGAGGGAGGAACAAACTTGAGCACGTGTGCAGGTGAAGGCAAACTTACCAAGTCCTTTCTGTGGGGCTGGGGATCTAAATTCCATGAGGTACTGGAGGTAGGGTTTCTCTGTGCTGATCTCGTAGTATCGAATATTTCCGTCTCCCTGTAAACAAAGCAGCTCCTCAGCTCCTCCAGTGTGGCAGAGTCCTGATTTAATCTCTAAAGCCCTGTAGCGCTTGGCAGAGGCCCACTGATTTTTCTTTTAGAGAAACCATGGGGAAGAACTCTGATCCCAGTTCAGGGAAACAAATAAAATATCCATGCAGTTTTATGCATTCCATATTTTCCGTGCTACAGGAGCTTGTATAAACTGGTACATTTCAGGCTCGTCGCCTTATGTTGAACAAAAGGCAATTCACCAAACTTGACTACACTGCACAGATGAATCAGCTGCAGGACAGAGCCTGTGGTTACCTTTCCAGCCAGGTAGAGCATGTGCGTGTCTGCGTCGTAGAAAGGGAAGAGAAGCCCTGATAGCCCATCTATCTCCTCCTCTATGATTGGCATGGATAGGTCCTCCTGCATGAAGAGAACTGCTTCAGCTTACCTGTAACACGCTTCATCTCTCCTCATCTACACTTAGACTGGTGTGTTACATCATGCCAGAAGCAGAGTACAGTTTAGTGAAGAGCTGTGCACTGGTGGTTAAAACATGGTGAAGCAATGAGGGGTGCTGTGCCAAAACAAACATGGAAATTCAATCAAAGCAAAGTAAATAGTACAGACATGACGCAACCACAAGCACATTTTACAAGGGACTATCTCTAAATCGACAAGGATGAACCATCTCCTCCTCATCCACAACAGCAAAGCACACCAGAAAAGCAGTCCAAGCTGGCCCCAGCCCCATATGGTAGAAGGGAAATATTTGGGACGGAACTATGGTCCGGTTGTACTCGCTGAGCCAGGCTCACACGCTGCAGGTGTGTATTTCGTGCCCCATGGCTGCCTCCGGTCTCCTCACCTGATCCCAGAGTGCAATCTGCCGGGTGTTCCAGCGGGACACGCCTGTGGTCAGCAGCCGCTTGACGTTGCCCAGGAACACCACGCGGTTAACCTTGTGGTTCTTGCAGTTCGCCTCCTGCGCAGAAGGGGAAGGAGAGGTTTAACCCACCAGCGCTGCTGTCGTTACAGTCCTCCTGAGGGCGTAATAAACACCGCAAGCTCCACCGACGCATTCCCTCGCCTTTTCTGTGAGACAGCTCTCTGACTGAGTGGGTGGAGCAGCTGGAGAGAAGAGCTTCTGTCCTGAAGCTTTAACCGTTGATCATCACAGCTTTAGGCAAATCAGTACAAGATCTCGATTTGCCTGAAGTGTTACTTCAATAAAAGGTGAAGTTGTAAAAGGTGCTCGTCTTATGATTTGCATGTGATTTCAAAACGGGAATGAGGCATTGAGCTGAATTTATTCTACCGCGATGACGAGTGGGTTCACTCACTGTGAAAGATCTGCGTTGTTATAGTTCATCATGGGTAGACTTGAACATGCTCAGTTGTGCACGGTGCAAAAATGCAGATTTCATAAAGCCTTTGATGACAAACTTGAAGACTATCCATGGTCTGCATAAAGTCCATAGCAGAAAAAACTTGTCTCTTTCATTCATCCCGTAAATAGGATGTCATCTGTTTCATGTCAGAAAATCAGAGAAGACTGCTTGGAATGGGATCTGAACATCAGTAATTCAGGACCAGGCTTCAGAAAGCACCTTCTGTCATGGTGTGCCTGGGAGCAAGAGTTCATGTGAAGCTGAGCTATATGATGAACATGATCACATGAGGCTGTGTGTGGCCGAATTCTGCACTGGTCATGTAAAAATAAAATGTCTTGGCAGTGCAAACCGTTGAGCAATAAAATGTCAGTCTCAAAGCTTTTAAACCTTTTCAGGGAAGATCTCTAAGAAGAATAAGTAGTAAGAGCCCTTAGTAGCTCAAGCACATAGCTGCGTCAGCATCTGTAGGTTGTAACGGAACAAGTAAAGGTTTATTCCATGCTGAAAAAGGTAAGGGCCTTCTTTGTGTGTGAAGGATCGAGGCATCGAGCTGGACTCAGAAGAAGAAGGCTCCACAGCTGAAATGTTGTGTTTCTTTTCTTCTCTTTTCAGCATGGACTAAACATTTACTTGTTCCGTGAGAGCCCTTATATTCTAAATTCCTATGTACCAGTGTGATCAGTAGCCTGAACATCTGTCTGCGGTTCTCACTGTCAGATGCATTCAATCACTGCTCTCTCAGGGTCAAGGATGATTGTCCAGAGCACTAATGGGTTAGTGGGCCTGCATCAGGAGCTTCATACTCAAAAGTAGTAGAGAACTATAGTAGAGAACTTTCAGTATGGCATTAAAAGCTGGTATTAAATATTTACCTCTTTTGTTCTACCATCTAATTCTCCCAAACTGTACTGAATTAAAAACATAAACAAAAAGATTGTCCTATTACATTTGCAATTTGTAATTCGCTGCAATTTCGTTTGCAAAATTGGACATAATGTTGGCATGGGAGTTTTACTTTCTTGATTATCCTACGCTGCTGGTGTCTTATTATTAAACATAAAGAGACAATTCTCCCATAGACTCTGTACTAAAAAGTTCCTTTTGCTCGTCTCTTTGTCCGCCTCCTGCGGGACAGCTAGTGAGCGTTTGTGTGTGTTTCGCACAACGGGCAGGCCGCACCTGCAGCACGTCCCCAGAGCGCGGCTCGATGACGCGCAGCCTCTTGTCCTTGCAGGTGGTGGCCAGCAGGCTGCCGTCCGTGTTGAAGGACATGCAGAGGATGACGTCCGTGTGGCAGTCGATCATCTTCACCGGCTCGCCGATGTCCAGGTTCCAGATGAGGATCTGAGGGAGAGAGGATGGGGGAGGGGAGGTGATGGAGGAGGTGGAAGATCAGTGCAAGGTGATGAAGAGGGGTTAAACACGGAGCCTTTTTTTAAACTGGGGTTTTCTATCAAACACATGTCCGCCCTGCAGTTCTCAGACTGCTTTCTGTCTTTGCACAGGTGCTTTGAGAAGGTTATCATTGAAGAGGGCAGGACATTCCCTAGAGAGGCCTGTCATAGTGATGGCATAGCAACACCCCTCCATCCCCCAGGCTTGTCCCCCTCGCCCCAGCCTGTACCCGCACGGCCGATACCTTGTAGTCGTACCCGGCGCTGAACAGGATGCCGTTGGTGGTGGGGTGCCACTCGATGAGGCCGACGCGCCGGCTGTGCCCGTACAGCTCCAGTACGGCCTCCGTCATGTTGCGCTTCAGCCCCCCTTCCGGGATCTCCCATATCCGCACCTGACGGACACACGCACCGTTGCAGCTCGCTGCTGCCACCCAGGGGCTGCTCCCCGCGCTGCAGGGCTGCAGTGCCCGTCTCTCCAGAATAATCATCAGGTAACTAAGGCTTTTACTGTGATTACTGCGGGACACAACTTGACAGCTGGTCGTATCGGTGTAAAGCGCAGATTGGAGCCGATCTGGCATAGCCTCCTGTTGCATTTACTGTGTTCGAGCCTTATGGTAAGAGACCACAGAGAGTTCGCAGTTTAGCCAGACTATGTAAAAAAAAAAATGTGAGACTTCAAAAATCCGAAACGATTAAAAAGCTCAGGCTGTACAATGTGGAAATCGTTTTCAATTATTGGACTGTTTCAGCATCCAGATGTTGATGCTCTTAGTGAGGATTATACCCGGGCAGGGTACTGAGTGAAGGACTTATCTTCTTTAACTCCCAGCGTAGTGTTGGGCTGTAATGAAAACAAGACTGTATTATACTGGCCTGGCGTGGGCTGGTCTAAGTGCACTTTTCTCCTGCGGGACTGTAGACTCATGTTTGTTGTCCATTGTGCTGTGAGACACTTGCTTTGTTAACCTGTCTTACCCCTCGCTGCCCAGAATTCAGAGAGAACCATGCAGCTGTGTTGCTATTGTGTGCAGTGTGTGTATGGGTGCGATGTGTGCATGTGGGTGTGCAGTGTGTGTATAGGTGCAGTGTGTGCGTGTGGGTGTAAGTGTAAGTGCACATGCAGTTGCAGTTAGTGCATATGAATGGTGTGCAGTGTGTGTATGTGCGGTGTCTGCACAGTGTGTTGGGTCTGCACAGTGTGTAGTGTATGCATACAGTGAGCAGTGTGTGCATGCGCGGTGTGCATAATGTGCATACAGTGTGTAGTGTCAGTGAACACGCGGCGTGCAGTGTCAGTGTTCGCGTAGTTGTAGTGTCAGTGCAGAGGTGGTGTGCAGTGTGTGTGCACACGTGGTTGCAACTTGTGCGCGCAGTGTGTAGTGTGTGTGCACACGCGGTGTGCTGTGAGTGTGCAGTGTATGTGTGGCGAGTGTCAACGTGCTGGCTGTCACTCACGGAGGAGTCCTCAGAACAGGATGCGATGATGTTATCGATGAAGGGGTTCCACTTGACGTCCAGCACGTTGCCCTGGTGACCGCACACCTTTGGGTAGTGGGGGTCGATGCGGCCTGTCTGAGAAAGCACCGTAGAGTCAAACACTCAGGGGCTCTAGATAGATCCATACAACATACATTTGAGTTCCTAGATTTTTGGGCACTCCCCATTAACTCCCATTGTATTTTATTATTTCAAACAATATTCTGACCAAAAACACATGTGTGGCGCATTCAGATTTCAAAAGAAGATGTAATTTTGTTTTATAGGAAAATATTGTGTGACGGGAGTTTCTACTTGTATTTTCTCTGACTATTGCCACCATATATAGACTGTTATGCATTTACCCCTGAACACGCACATACCCACACACACACATTTACACACACAGATACACACTTGCACACAGGGAAAGAAGGGAAACTAACAAAAAAAAAGGGCCCCACCAACTGTCCACACACACACGGCTTGTGAATGGGGGTGCTTTACTGCCAGGCTGTACTGTACCAGGCCCAACTGCAGCACAAGAGAAAGACAGGCGTACAGCCAGACGTGTCCTGAAGAAAGCATGAGCCTCCCTTCCACCAAGGCCAGACCCCACTTGTCAATAAAAATGGCATCACAGGTTACAAGTTGCCGACGTTAAAGACATTACACATGGGATTTAAAGATCTAAAAAACATCAAGTGCTGAATTTTAACCACATCCTTTGACCATTAATGTGTGAGACTGGCTAAGCTGTCTTTGTAAACACCAGCTGGCGTTTTCCTGCTCTCATTCCAAGGAGAGCTGGGTTATACTGTGATCTCAGAGAGCACCGCAGAGCCTGTGATTTCCAGTGGAGGTCACATACTCCGAGCTCATCTGTTTCAAAAGCTCTGCCTAAAACGGTTTTATCCATCCATTATCAGAAAACAGCTTATTCCTGGCAAGGGTCTTGGCAGCTCAGAGCCTGTCACAGGGCGCAGATCGGAAATAAGCCCTGGACAGGGCACCTGTCTAAGCAAGAAACACACACAGGTGTTCGAGACCCAGTTATTCCTGCGGGTGTTTCTTCCACCTGAGCACCCAGTTAAATAAATGGACAGACCCAATCACAGGTTTCATTTGGACAGTTTCCTTTTAACTGCTATGTTTCTGTTTGAAAATGACCAACATTTAAGTAGAAACAATTGCAGGTCGTTGGCTCAGTTAAGGAATCATTGAAGTAAAGCACTCAGCTGCAATGAAAATCATGTGTTTGCCTCATATTTAGTTGCACTGAAGTATGTTATGTCTTTTAATTTAAGATAATTCACAAAGTGAGTTTGACCAATTCTGTAGCAAGGTTTTAGATTATGTTTTGGCGCTTAAGTGCTTTTTAGTGCTTTTTAGTGCTTTGATTTGCCTTGCAGTTTCACCACTGGGTGGCACTGCGCCACTGTGTTGCATGGTTCACAGCGCTTGGTGGTTCTAGCGTCTCAGCCATCAGGTCATGGATATTTCATAGCACTTCAATGTACTGACGTCTTTCTGCGCATAGGCTCGTTCTGGGTTCAGCGAGTGAGCGCCTAACACTGTACCGGACCTGCTGTCTGTAATGACAGAGTAATTTGACCAAAGTGTTCAACATGGGCTCCCTGTAAGCAGTGTGACAGGGATACATTTTATTTGTACTGACTGGGTCACAGTCTGCAGTGAAGTACATCTTGATCCCTTTCTGGATTAAGGTCATTGCATCATTTTTTTTCATATTGCACTTGTATACATTTTCAGAAGATGCATAGAAACTCTGGTCAACTAGGTTGAAACCTCTATGGATAATAACCATGTCTGTTGAGATACTATTAAAAAGGAAGCCAGTTGCCCACCCTGCAGCATACACAAGACAGAGCTCATAACACTGGTTTTGTTCAAGGCTTTTAGGAAAAACTACAATTATGGGAGGCACTTACTCAGGATTATATTTTAAAGGGCTCTTTATATAGGTTCACTCCAGCCATTTTGAAATGCTACCAGCTGGAATAAGTCTACCTGTATGTTGTGCCAGTAAATCCTCAAAATGTAACATTATATTCTGGTGCATGTGATGAAGACAACAAGCCCATCTCACCACAGCTGTGTCAGAGCTCCTGGACAGGTGTTACACATTGACAACTGTTTAGAAGTGGAGAGGAACAGCTTTGTGAAAACACTCAGCTTCCCTCTAAACTGTTACCCTTTCAGTCAACCCAAAAACAAGCTCTGGCTTTCTCCCTACATTTGTGAAGTATGGAGTAGGGGTGAGCTGTCATGGGTATTAACCTTGCTAACCACTTAACCCAGGAATACAGTTCCTCGGTTATAGTGTGTTTCCGTCAAACATTGGCAGCCTTCAATGCTCCACAGAGGCCTCATGGTGCAGTGATGCAGATTAGAAACGGCGTGTGTCCTCTGATTTCACAGGTCAGGCCTGTCCTGCAGGAAATAGTCACTGAGTTGTGTAAATGCCATTAAACAAATCATTGGACTCAGCAGGCTGCTGCTTCGGATGCAAAAGCGAAATGCTCCTTCTTTGTAAGAAATCAAAGTGCCTCAGATTAACACAGAGACCCTGAGAACATGTGCGGGAGAACAGGTTCAAACATTGGACATCCATTCCTCCATTTTCTAACTGCTTTACCTGATAAAGGGTGGCAGGAGAACTGAGCCTATCCCAGCAAGCAACAGGCACAAAGGACAGGACGCCAGTCCATCGCAGGGCAAACACACTCACACCAGGGCCAGTTTTTCCAAAAGCCCATTAACTTACCACCATGTCTCTGGGAAGAAACCTACACTGTATATGAACACAGGGAGAACATACAAACTCCACACAGAGAGCATCCTAGGTCCGGAATTGAACCCAGGGCCCCAGAACTGCAATGCCAATCACTGCACCACCCTGCCACCCTAAATTATTTATTCATTTATTAATGACTTCACCAATGGTCATCACAATCAGTAGTGAGGAAAAAGCTCTGTGCTGTGCCGCAAAGTGCTTAGGGAACGAGCTTTGTGTGCAGTGGCTCAGTAACAATACAACAGTAGGGTCAGCCCTGTGCTATAAAAGAACTGTATGACGGATTGCTAGGGTACTGGATGGTTGTAATAGATAAGGAGTTGCCATGGGCAGTAAGAATGTAACACAAGAGCATGTACAGCTCATCACATGGTGTCAACAGAATCAGGCATAGAAGAATGTTTGTTCTCCTAATGAATGTTTCCATCAGGAAAAGTACAAGGGCATGTCGGTCAGATTCCATAGTTGAGCGTGTTCTTTGGGAAGCCTTTCTGACACTGTGAGACTCTCCACCAGTCTCCTGTTCATGCTACTGACTTTTAATGCAAGCTTCAAGTGAAATGTATCCCTTAATGCTTAACGCCCCTACTCTTACAAAGCCACGTTTAACACCTCATGCTAAGGACATCCTCTAACACAGTGTCCCAGTTCACAATACTGAGCATTGGTTTGGAAAATAAGTTCCAGAGGGAAGAGCACCACCTACTAGTCCACCAACATCACTTCACTCCGCTCCCTGGATTTCTTTGAAGGTTTCCATCCCAGTACCGACCAGTCTCAGCCCTGCTTAGCTTCTGAGTTCTGACGAGGTGCTTCTGCAAGCCTACCTCTACTGATAATTGCCGAAGTGTCACTTGATGGCGACTCTCTGTCTGGTACCCACCCATTAAATAAGCCACCATCAATTATGGATCCCAATATTGATCATTACTGTTACCGATTCGTGATTGTAAGAAACCAGTACCACTTGATTGGCAGAAATGTTTCGAATCTGCAATTTTTTTGTTGGCAGTATTCCTTACAATGCTGGGCTAATTCGACTTATACACCCACGCAATTTGGATTCGCCAATTGCTTAAAGTTTCGGTTGACAAAGCACCAAGTCCAAAGTGAGACAGGAAGTCCCACTCCTCCACCACACCCACCTGGGCGGGATTCACTTGTCAGACAGGAAGGTGGGTATTGAAGGAGGGGGACGTGTCTCACTCATGTCACTGCAGCTCCTACAGGAGCCACTCTTTAGCCATCAAGCTGAGAAGACTCTCGCCATCACTTCCTCACAGCGGATTCCACTTTCCACTAAATATAAGTCGTTTCTTCAGCCCCCTCTGCAGCACTGTCAGGAATCTAGCTTGCTATGTCGCAGGAGGAATGTTTCCGAGTGGCAGTAATTGCCAAGAGTGAAGACGCCCTCGCAGTCTGCAGGAGCTGCCTGGACGAGCAGGAGCACACCGCTGTCATTTGCAGCTACTGTATGTGTCCAGGAAACATGAAACAGACAGCCAGTGACAAAGACACTGAGCTGCAATTTCTTCCCTTGCTGTGCTTCATCACGCTGGCAGAAGAATGAGTCGTCTCCTCCTCCCCCCCGAGCCCGAGAGTGACCATGCAGAAGAATTTCTTTAATCAGAGAAGATTCCCACTGCACCCCTCCTGTTTCCAATGGCTTACCCTCTGCTCTAAAGCTGTGCGTTTTGGAGATATCCGCATTACACTCTTCCCACACTTTGCATGTATTTCGAGGTCTGTGTATATTCCTCCGTACAGTTTACACAGATGCATTTAACCACTTAGGTAAAAATGTGAACTGTGCAGGTAATAAAGGCATCAATAATAATGACAGGCATGAATACACAGCACCTACAGTACCCTTGGCGATGATGAAAATGCTGTGAATACATTTTAGAAAAATGGAATGTCTAATGGACATTTTGCCAGTTTTAAGCAGAAGTGTTTTTTTTAACCATCAGAGAGATTTACATGCACAGCACATCAGAGGAATGAGAGATTTTGTAAGTTTGACATACATTGTTTTTTTTTTCTCTGCATTAAGCATGAAGAGGTTCTAAAATTTGTGCTGTAAAAAAATTACAAGTTCTGGAATGCATGAATAACATTAAGATAATATTGACAGATAGATGAGAGTCTGCATTTTACAGATAACTATTCAGATTGCCTCTAAATGCCCTTCAGTACAATGCCGTAGGGAAACCAAACCGAACCAAATCGGGAACGAAAGCAGCAAACGTAGCACTAACGAATGAGACTCGTTAGTGCT